ATTCACGGGTCACAAAAATATCCTTTCCCACCCGGCTCATTAATATCGCTCTCTGATTCTCAATAAAAATCGCAGTTTATAATACGTATTGGGAACACTGATACGATTGGGAACCGTGAGAATTTGTATATAGATGCCATTACGCCAATGCAAAATGGATTACACACTTTAATACACTTGATCCAATTTTGATTGGGACTATGGTCTACATTTCGTAGACCATAGCCCCGTATAAAATGGGCCAAGTATAAAATTGGCCAAGTATAAAATGGGCTGTGATAGTTATATCATAGAATAGGAAGGTATACCAGAAGTCTCACTCAAGCAAGTATTTGTCCGCGTTTTTACAAGCGATTCGTCCGATCATCAATCACGCACCGGCACTTTGTACCTATCAAAACCTGATAAAAACTTCCGGCTGTACTAGCCAGGATGGCGTGAGCGAGTTAAAATTTTCGTGGGTTACACTTCTGCTATACTTTCCTATTTTGTGGTTATATGCTGTATATTCAAATACATTCTTCAACCGGAATATAACCATACATGGTTATTATTGTATTAACGCTATAGTAAAAATTAAAAAAAATATCGTGCACGCGGCAAGATTCGATAAAAAAAATCGTGCGGAGTCGGTGAGGTCCAAAAAAAAATCGAGCACTCTCAAAAATGCGCCCCCTCCCCCCATGAAAAATCAAATGGTCCGTCCCTTACGGTTACAGCTCAACAGCTTGCCTCTGTAGCTCAGTTGGTTAGAGCGCTGCACCGGAATCGCAGCTGCATTTTTCGCAGTCGTTCCTGGTCAGGTCTTAAAATGTATATATATATATACTCACTTGGATTACAAACCCTAAGAACAGCATTCAAACTTCCATTATTACCCACCGAAGGCAGTTTACTAGGTTGATTTTCTAAAAGCGTAAAAAACGTTATAACCTTATAGACTTGGCATCAATTAAAGGATGCGCAACGAATCCATTTTCACTATTCTATTCGATCAAAAATCTACTACCCACCCACTACCTTACTTGTATTTAAATTTGCGCAGTACTAGAATTCGCGCAGCGACAAGTGCGCGAATTTAAGTACTGCGCGAAATATAATACGCGCGAAAAGCTTTGTGATGTAATATGACACACTTTTTCTTAGCAATGAAAATCAGTAGCTTTATTAACGAAACAATACATTTGATATGTGTTTATAGTATTAAAAGTTGTCCTGGTATGATTAAAAATCGAAAATGTTTTCATTTTCATCCTCGACAATTTCAGTCGGTATATTTTCAGGCTCCATGTAGTATCCCATCGAAAATTCTTGCATTTTGTCATAGATCCTTAAACTTGCATTGTTCCGCAAAATTGTTAG